TCCTTTCCGCCCTTGATGGCCGCTAGCTTCTTTACACGTTCCTGCATGCTCGATATTTCGCCTACAAAAGAAACAATATACAAGTCAGTAAACCATAAACCAACAATGGAAACACAGAGAGAGCCCGAGCGAGAGGCGGACCCACTACCTAAAAACCACAAGGCTTCCTCCTCGGACACACACTTGATGAGAGCCTTCGTGTTGATCAACCGCGACTCCCAAAGAACCTCCCTGTGAGAGTCGAGGATAAAATTCCCGTCCGGCGTCACACACTTCGTGGGAGTGAAGCTAGAGACAAATACGACCAACTTCTGGTAGGCCGCTCGGTCATCAACATCCAACGAGCCCGACCTTACTATGTAGTTGTTCGTGCCCTTGTCAAAATGCTCCTCCGTCCATATCAACAGGAACTTCGGCTCTAAAACCTCCTCCAGCTTCCCATCTTTCTCCATGACCACGAGGTCAAACAGTGAGTCCACGATCGTATGGGTGACGGGCTTGAAAATATAGTGTCGGTCTTTGAAAGTGCGGATGAAATCTATATATGCCCGAAACGGTCTCCTCGGCTGCTTCGAAGACACCCAGTTGTGTTGACCCTCGAACATTTGTCATTGAATATGGAAGATGCGGAAGAAAAGAGTAAGCGTAGTCCCAACGTTGAGATACCGACAGACGAGCTCGTACGTTCGCACGAATGCAATCGCATTGGGGTGAAGCTGTAAGGACACCAGCTGCAGCCAGTCAAACACTCCCCGTTAGAAATTAGTAGAGGGGAGACACAAGCCTACCTCTCGAAAGGTAAATTCGTACATAGGGAACCTCATCCCTTTAAAAGACGAACATATTTGATGGTTTGCTCAAGGTTTATACACCTTCCAGTTAAGGGGGAACCCTCACAGCGGTCCTCGACCATGGCGTAGGCGTCAAATTCATCCACAATAAAGTGAGAAGAAATACTCAGGGGCTCCTACTCGACCCAATTCATAACAATCCATTTTTGTTCCTCGCCGGTCTGCCCTACCGGCGAATCAGGCTCGTCGTCAATATCAACGACCCCTTCAATCCATGCAGCCATCTTTACTTGAAAAACATAGGAAAATGGTGAATTCGACACTCCAGATTAAATCCACCCTTCCACCGCAGATCAAGTGAAAAGGCGAAGAAAGGGGCACCTCTAGAGAGAGAGTCTCCCCCACCTCGACAAGAGAGAATCGGGTCCTTGAGACTTTCATCTAATGTCCCCGAGGATCCCATCCCAGGTCCTTAAGACCTTCATCAGGTCCTCGAGACGTTCATCTTATGTCCCCGGGATCCTCATCCCAACTCTCCGGGACCTTCATCAGGTCCTCGAATCACTCATCCTACGTCTTCGGGGGCTTCATCGTCGGTTCCTGGGAGCTTTGTTAAAAACAATACCAATTCAAAGAAGTTATGACGTATTTGCTGGAAGCTTCATAGTTTCCCCGGGACCTTCATCAATTCCAACAGAGAAACCATCGAATAATAAAAAATAAGAGTAAAGTGACTATGAATTACTTAATACAACGGTTTTGGGAGGACAAGACAGTGGCGGACGACAAACGTCTTGGAGCAAAGAGAGGATGAATGCAAAAAGGGAAGAGATAACGTCTTTAACAAAAGAAGGGAATCGTGAGACTGAAACAGACTCAACCCTTATTTATAAACCTAGCACAGGGCTCGAGGCGTCCCTAGGAACTTGAGTGCCTCTACCCCTAGTCGCCATTGGCATTAATTACCCTGACACGTGGCGTCACTAGACGCTTCGCACCCATTCGTCTTCCCTTCGTGCTCGGAGATCAAGCACGTCCGTTCGCTTTCCACCTCCCTGACATACTGTCTTGTTGAGCATCCTCTGCTCCTAGCCGCGTACACGACCCTCAACTCTATATGTCGGGCAAGCTACCATCTTCTGAACTGGTCCTCGACACCTTGACTTACTCTTAAGTCATTACTCCTCCACTTAAGAGCAACAACTTGAGGGGCTCCTGTTCTAGGTTGGGTCGAGACCTGCCCCTCAGTCGGGCAGGCCCAACCCAATACTACGCTGATGAGGCCCAACAAGGCACAATCCTCCTCCGTCGAGCACGTACCTCAATTAGGCACCTTAGTCGGGCAGAGCATTATCTTGCACGGGAAGAGCTCACGCGCTTTCCCCACGCTCTCCATGTGTCCCCCACGCGGGGACACGTCATCAGGCAACTATCCACTTCTGAAAGAGATGGTCGGTCCACCTTCCGAAGATCACGGGGCAGTTGATCCAAGGCGAATACCACGTGCTGGTCTTCACTACGCCACGTAATCCCTAACAGTTACTTGTGTTAGGATTGACAATCTGGCCCAATGCAATGTAATTGTTGGCCTTGCGCTGAGGGCACGTTATAAATACCCTCTTTCACTAGAGGGTCATATATCTTATTCTCTACACCTATTCTCTCTGTACTTGCTCTTTCTAAAACTCCGTTACTCACTTAAGCATCAGAGTACCTTGCAGGTACACCCCTTCTCCTCTACAATGCTGGTGAACACAGGAGCTCACGACACGTGGCAGACTACTGATTCCTTTCTGATCAGGTGTGATCAATTAGATAGTTAATTTATTTCGTTTTTCTCAAATTTAAATATACTATTTCTACTATTGAACAATCTTATCTATTTAAACCACCAATTTATTATTTGATTTAAGATAAACTTTTATAACCTCAATTTTATGTTCTTGTTTTATATTTTTTAATCTTTAACTCTAAATCTTTGAATTTGTCTATCGATAGGATAAGTCAAATAATAAGATAATTTTTCTTCTATTATTTTGGATTCACACGATAAGTACAATCATGTTTTAAAAATCGGATCGGCCGGTCCGATCGGTTGAAACAGAAATCAGAGTGATAACCGATCTAGTTCAATTGTTAGATTGGATATGATTGAATCGGTGAGAACCGGTCAAAATTGGTGTAAACTGGTAAAAACCAGTAAATCAGCGGTTTTAGAAAACCGACGGTTCAAATGTGTGTTTTTTTAATAATTAAAACGACATTATTTTTCATAATTTAAAAATAGAAAAAATAAAAGTATAAGAAAAAGTTAATATTCTTTTCTTTAAAAATTGGTGACAACGATTAAATATAATAAATATAGGCTATTATTATATCATTAATAGGTTATGAAATTTAAACATAATCTATTTTTTTCCCTATACGATTGATATCATTGATTTTTATTTGTAGGGCTGAGGTGTTGCGTAGAGTAAATGGTAATGCATGTTATTTAGATAACAACCATTAATTTATACTTGAGATTGATACTTTTTTAATTTTTAAATCAATTATTTGATTTAAATTTATAATTGATTAAAATTTATAATTGATTAAAATTTGAATTTAAATTATAAACTTGTAAAATTATGATATTTTTAAATTTTTTAGGTATTAGTGATTTTTTTCGACATCAAGTCATCTGGTTCGACCGGTTTAATACCTATATAATTTTGTTATAGTGATTGGTTTATTCAACCAAATTATCTGATTTTATCCTGTTTAGTTATCCGTTCGACCAATGACTCAATAATTTGACCAATAAATCAGTGAACAAATACTCTTATAAGTTCGATAACCGGTATGGTTTTTAAAACATTGAGTACAATAATAATAATAATGATAAAGTTTAGTTTTTATTTTTCTATCATAATGAAAAAATTTAGTTAAATTATGAATATTGAGAGATTGACCATCATGAATATTTAAGTTCAGAAACTTTTTCAAAATTTCCCAATTTCTTAAGCTTTTATAAAATTACTTGTGTGTGTGTAGAATATTCTCAAGCTAACAACAAAACTCAATTTTGTGTGTGTAGAATATGAGTTAAATTGTTGTTGGTAAGAAAAACCTACATTGGTCACTGGTGTATACAAAGATTAAAGATATCTAACTCACATCATTATTTTGACTTTAAAAGAAATTAAAAATTAACTAATGGATTTTTTTCAAGGGTTAGAATCACATTCTTGTAAATATTAGTATATGAGTAGGAAATGATTACTATATGGGTTAGAATCACATGTTTGTTGTATGGTTAAGAAAAAATATTCTTAAATATAAAAGCTCTAACGAATGGAATAGCTTTCATATTCCTATCACTATCAATTTTTGAATGAATATTAAATTTATTTCAAACACATTTATTAAAATATACTAAGATTCTTATAATTTCATTCTTAATAAAGTTATTTACATGGTGAAAACCAAAAAAAATAATTATACAATTATATTTTTTCATAACCAAATATTTTCTAAGTTTAATTATGCCAAAGGTAATATATTTAAAATATAATTTTATGCAACAACAATGTAAAATAATTTAATAAAAATATCATATCTAATAACAAAATTAATTAAATGTGCTAATTTCGTTAATAACATTAATATTATTTACTGATAATTGTATTTATTAGAATAGTTAAGTGAAATAAAAATCAATTAAAAAATATATAAATATTATATAAAAATTTAAAAGTAATTATTATTTTGAGACAAGTATAAACGAAAGTTGTTTTGAGACATAAGGATACAAATAATAAATGAGAAGAATGAATTAATTTCTTAATTAAAATGTCATTATGTTTTTTTTTATTTGGTCAAATAGAATATTACAAAATTATTTGACAAAAAAAAAGAATATTACAAATTTATTAAGCGTTTGAAAGTGGTAAGAAGAGATGTTACCTAAGATTGTACTGCACACGTGGACTACCGCCATTGGCCACAATTCCAGTTCAGTCTATGCAATTTCACAGTTCTATTCGTCAACGAGACCAAAAAGAAAAAACGAAGAAAATGCAAGGACACATTCGTCATTTCATTCCCATTCTTTTTCTACAGAACCTCGAGAGCAAGAAGAAACGCAGCATAGACAGTGACAGAGACTGTGTTTGTGAAAGAGAGAGAGATTTCGCAATTCGCAAACCCTAATCAAAGAGATCGGCGATGGCTTCCTCTAAGGATCGCGAGAACTTCGTCTACATCGCCAAGCTCGCTGAGCAAGCTGAACGATACGAAGGTTAGGGTTTCCTCCTTTCTGTCTCAGTCTCAGTCTCGCGAGTCGTTATCAATTTTGCTTGATTTTGATACTTTCTTATGCAAATTATAATTTCATCTTACTTTGACTGAATTCATGTAACTTTACTTGATTTCAGTTTGAGCATGTAGCTATTTCAAAATTTTGGTACTGCATGTTTGAGATCAAGTGTTTTTGTTGATCGGAGTTCTGTTTTTGTTCATTCTGTGGAATTGTAACAGATTTGAAGTTTGATTTGTGTTTTTGTGAATATTTTTGTGACAGAGATGGTGGACTCGATGAAGAATGTTGCGAATCTAGATGTTGAACTGACTATTGAAGAAAGGAATTTGCTTTCTGTTGGTTATAAGAACGTGATTGGTGCTCGTCGAGCGTCGTGGAGGATTTTGTCTTCCATTGAGCAAAAGGAGGAGTCGAAGGGAAATGATGTAAATGCGAAAAGGATTAAGGAGTATAGGCATAAGGTTGAAACTGAGCTTTCGAACATCTGTATTGATGTTATGAGAGTGATTGATGAACACCTTATACCTTCAGCTGCAGCTGGTGAATCAACTGTGTTTTACTATAAGATGTGAGCAGTCATGTCTCGGTCTTTAATACTGATTTTGGGTTTTAATTTCTTTTGTTTCGCTTAAGTGGATTATGGAATGTTTGAATATTCTGATTGCAGGAAAGGAGATTATTATCGCTACCTTGCAGAATTTAAGACAGGCAATGAGAAGAAGGAGGCCGGTGATCAGTCAATGAAAGCGTATGAGGTGAAATTTTTATTTTTGTATTTTGTATGATATTTGCACCTATCTACCATTGGTGTTTTTTTTCCTGAGTTTGTTAAAAACATGCAGTGTTTGTTACTGTTAGCAATTGATCTAAAAGGATTATTTTGCTCTTCATTTTTAATTTGGCCGGCATAATAAGTTCTTTCTTTGTACTCACATTTGTTGAGTTCTTTTTCATTCTTTCTTCAAACTTTTTATATATCTTTGTTTCAGAAAAACTGTACAATATGTATAAGTGATATCTGTATTTCTACTAATTGGGGAATCTAACAGAGTGGATTTTTATAATTATCTACTATGTAAATTTTTTGTTATGTGTCTTCTATTGATTTATTGGGGAAAATTTCCATTAATCGTCGAAATACGCAGCCAAAACAGCAGTTAATTGAAACATGCAGTCCATTTGATGACTTAGTGTTTTATCTTTTTTCATATTTATATGAAATTTGCAATTAAACCATTTTTATCTTTTTTCATATTTATATGAAATTTGCAATTAAACCATTGGTACCATCTATTGCTCTTCCCCTTGCATGTTATAGTTTCTTTTGCTCTTTCTCACTATTCTTCTGTACCATCTATTGATGATCCTTCCGTCTACTGTTATATATCTGATGTGATCATGTTTTTAGTACTTGCATAAAAAAGTGCAATTGTTTCTTTTCTAGATTTGAATCAATATTTCCATTTTTATTCAACTCTGCCTGTTCTATTTTACACCATGTTAATTTTCTTCTAGTAGTACATTTAACTATGTTCATTTTGAAAGAGCTGTTAATCAAAGGAGTTTCCTATTCATATTTTTTTTATCCTTTTATCTCCTACATAAAACTTCTGGTTTTCTATGTTGCAGTCTGCTACCACTGCAGCAGAGGCTGAATTACCCCCCACTCATCCCATCCGATTGGGTCTGGCTTTGAATTTCTCAGTTTTCTATTATGAGATCTTGAATTCACCAGAAAGGTTTGTGATTTGAATTTGATTTTTAATCTGGATTTTAATTGAAATTGGTGTTGTGTTCGATAAGGGAGAACATATTTTCCTTTTTCAGAGCCTGCCATCTTGCAAAGCAGGCATTTGATGAAGCTATTTCAGAGCTTGACACCTTGAATGAGGAGTCCTACAAAGATAGTACATTGATCATGCAACTTCTCAGGGACAACCTGACTCTCTGGACTTCTGACATCCCAGAAGATGGAGGTAATTATTAATAAAAGACTTGCAAAATATTTCATGAGTTCTATCAAGATGTTTAAGAAGAGGTAGGGATAGTTCCAGAGGATATAGCAAGGGAAAGTCATGTACAGTTAGATAATAACTGCTGGGTTTGAAGATGTGTATTTCCTACCCACAATCTAACCATAAACCCTCAAATTGTCCGACAAGTGCAAGGGATTGGAGAACAAAATAGAAATGTACCATCTCTAGATATGCTTTTACACGACAAACAATAATTTGAATGCTTAATATCTATTGTGGTTGAGATTTTTTTTTTGAAACTGATATTATAGGATGCTAGGCTATATATGACAGCATAGCCGCACCTAGATAGTGAGATTTAGTGCTGATTTAGTTGTGGTAACTTATGCTTTTTGGTGGTCCTTTTTTATCAATGTTTACTGAAGTTTTCTGACTACCTGCTACAGAAGATTCCCAGAAAGCGAATGGCACTGCCAAGTTCGGTGGAGGTGATGATGCAGAGGTGAGTAATTCTTCAAATATGGTATCTACAATTTATTTTCATTTGATGGCTTTAATTATTCATTTTGTTTTACTTTTTTTTAATGGCAGTGAGGCTGGTGTTTGGTGGGAACTTCCTTAGGATTTGATGCAGGTGTTTGAGTATGAAACATTAGGGCTGATTGCTTATTTGTGTACTAGCTAGAGTTAGGGTTCCATTGTTTCTCTTTCTCCGTTTCTTGTCAATTGGCCATACTTTCCCATAGAGGAAAACGAAACTCCATTTGTGCTATATTATGATAATGTTTTTATTTGTGGTGTGTCTTGAAATGGCCTGTTTCACTCCTCAGCACCTCCTTCTGTCTTTGGGAGATTGATTTTATGAGGATTGTTCTTGCTGTATTTCCAGTTCCAATGAAATGCTTCACCTTTATATGGAGATTGATCACTTGATTATTATTCTATTATGACTTGAATCCATCTACTTTTGCTGCTAAAATGTGGAAACAAACAAATAAACAGGAAGATGTGGGAAACTGAAATTAGTGGCATGAGTGCAGAGTTCTTAAATGTATTAATAATTGTGAAAGTAGCTTTCACTTCTATTTTTACTCTATAATAGTAGCTGCAAGTTAATGTTTTTATCAATATATTTGTGTAAAGTAGTTGATAAAATCAAATTGTGAGAGGTTTTGAAAGAAGTCTGAATACTACATTAACATGCAGCTAGCTTTCTAGATGGAATGAATTGATTTCCATGACCATAATTCATTCGAATAAATTAATTGCTTTTGAAAGTGTGGGAGAGATTATTTGGTACAACTTGTTTCAATGACAAAAGGGTGATGGGACGGGTTTCAATTAAAGTGAAGAACGAAAAATGGTTGCGTGATTTGTGGAAGTTTTCCGTGAATAAAAGAGGGGACAATCTTATATGAAAGTTTTACAAAAGTTCAAGTATTTAATTTTACACCATAAAGTTTTGAGGAATTTAGTGATCGAAATCCATATCTTTTTAATGAATTGGGTATCTCCACATTGACATGAATTTGATACTTGTGTGAAACTCTAGAGATTATTTACAAAACTATAGAGGATGTTTTTTCTACTTTGTTAGCCACCTCGCGAATTTTAGAAATGTCTCTGTATTTTGTAAATATTTCGGACGTATCCTAATACAAATGTTTAATTTATTTTTGAATCACGACTTTAATTTTATGAATACATTTATTTCAAAAATATATCTCAAAATAAATTTTAAAAATATATTTTCGAAAACAACATTCTTATCACTACCTTGTACATTACTGTGTTTGGTGAAAATGATTGTTATTAATATATGCGTAGGAGTGAAAATAGGTCTGATTGGGCCTACAGGCTAGTCTATAAAGGCTTAGACTAGATTAAATTTTTTTTTTTAAAAACAGAAAAGGTCTAGACTTTTTATAAATCTATTTAGTTAAAAAGGTTAGACATCAGATTATAAAAAAAGTCTTTTAAACTTAACAAGCCGACATATTTAAATAAATATAAATTATTTATTATTATTATTACTTTATGTTTTGTACTGAGACATATTTAAATAAATATAAATTATTTATTATTATTATTATGTTATGTTTTGTACTGAGTTAAAATACATAAATAAAAATTGATTATTTTTTAGAACTTATAAAAATAAAATGAAAAAATCTTATTAACAATGTTATAAGTTATTTTCATAAGTTATCTTAAACAAATAGTTTCACAAAACTTATGTTAATACGTAAGTTAAAATAAGTCCATGCAAACAAATTTTTAGTTTGTTATTCTATTTAAACATTATTTTCATTGTTTATTTATATATATTTAAAATAATAGTCTTTTATGTAGGCTAACAGACTAATCAGGATTTAAAAAAGGTTGGCATAAAAATAAGCCTTTAACAGTAGGGGGTGTTCATGGTTTATGAACTACATTGAACCGAACCACATTTATAGTTTGATTCAATTTGCAATAACTATTTTAATAAAAATCCAGTTAAATTGCTAAAATGGTTACAATTCAATTAAAAATTAATTTAAAACTGACTTATATTTATAAACTAGTTTAGAATCAATTTAAATTTTAAACCACTTATATATTTTTATATATTTCTGAACTCTTTTAAAATCAAAATTTTTAATTTTATAAGACTTTAAATTTTTTTATATTAAAAAAAAATTCTTTGTAATATTTATTTTCAATTTTTTTTTATTTTCATATTTTGTATTTTTGAAAAAAAATGCTTTCTCGTTTTTCCGTAAAAAGTCGACTTTTCATATTTACGAAAAAACTCAATTTTTTTTCGGAAAAACTCGATTTTTTTATATTTCTGAAAAAATTCGACTTTTTCATATTTCTGAAAAAATTTGACTTTTTCATATTTCTGACAAATCTCGACTTTTTCATGTTTCCAAAAAAATTCAACTTTTTTCATATTTTCGAAAAAACTCGACTTTTTCATATTTTCGAAAAAACTTGACTTTTTCATATTTATGTTAAAACTCGACTTTTTCATATTTTAGAAAAAACTTGACTTTTTCATATTTTAGAAAAAAAAACTCGACTTTTTCATATTTATGAAAAAACTCGACTTTTTCATATTTCCGAAAAACTAGACTTTTTCATATTTTCGAAAATTCTTGACTTTTTCATATTTTCGAAAAAATTTGACTTTTTCATATTTATGGAAAACTCGACTTTTTCATATTTCCGAAAAAAAACTCTACTTTTTCATATTTATAAAAAAAACTCGACATTTTCATATATCCAAAAAAGCTCGATTTTTTCATATTTTCGAAAAAATCCGACTTTTTCATATTTCCGAAAAAACCCGATTTTTTCATATTTTCGGAAAACTCGACTTTTTCATATTTCTGAAAAGCTCAACTTTTTCATACTTATGAAAAAACTCGACTTTTTCATATTTCTGAAAAACTCAACTTTTTCATATTTCAAAAAAAAAAAATTCTACTTTTTCATATTTCCGAAAAAAGTTGACTTTTTCATATTTCAGAAAAAACTCAACTTTTTCATATTTTCGAAAAAAACTCGATTTTTTCATTATTCTGAAAAAAAAAATCAATTTTTCATATTTTCGGAAAACTCGACCTTTTCATATTTCCTAAGAAAAGTCGGCTTTTTCATATTTAAAAAAAACTCGACTTTTTCATATTTTCAAAGAAATCGATTTTTTCATATTTTCGAAAAAAAACTAATTAATTTATATAATTAAACCAGTTTATAAAAGAAAGTTGGTTCTGAACCGATTTTAAACTGAAATTAAATTGTTTTAATAAATGATTCAGTTCATTAACTATTTAAATGGTTCAGTTTTTTTTATAGTGCAATGCAGTTTAATTCAAGTATAAAATTCAGTTAATCATATTTTTTAACACTCCTATACGACATACTATAGGCCAAACTTAAACTTTAATTTTTTTTACAAACCAAATTTAAATATGACAAAGCCTAACTCAGCGGACCTATTTTCACCTCTATATAAAAACTTTTCCCGAAACCATATTTTAAATTAATTTCCATCTCTTGCAAACTTCCTTTTCTAAGAAATGGGAAATAATGCAAAAATTTAGCAACATTATTTTTTCAAGCCTGCAAAATCTCATAAGTTTTATTTAATTGAAAATGGATTTTCTAACTTTTCCATACACCCGTCCCATTACATTAATCACCATTCTCTTGGTTGCTGAAAAGTTACTACTCAATTCAACTTAACTAATAAAAAAAGCAAACAATCAGGAAACACAATGGAACAATAATAGTAGTTTTGTCAACAGACAAAAAGTAGTATATACATGAGGTAATATATACGAGATAGTGATATTAGTGTGTTTTTCGAATATATATATCTCAAAAGTAGTATTTTTGTTTTAGAACTTAAAACTAAAATATTTATTCGGGGACTTTTTATATTTGAATGTTTTTAACTTATTTTAAAGAGTAAAAGAGAAACATCTTTTCGGTATTCTACTTTTCAATAAAGTTTTAAAACTCACACTTTCCATTAATGATATTTGTGTAATTATGTGAAACTTTTCTCCTCCGAATATTATGCCTTTTACCACGTAGAGCTGTATAAATAGAGTTGTAAAAATGAATCAGTCTTACAGCATCCTTATCCATTCCACTTAATTTGATCTAATTTAATTTTTTATATTATTTTATATTTTTCAATTATTTAAATCACTTAATTATATTTCTCAAATATCTATACTATTTATTAAACTTCAAAATAGATACCATTTTATCCTAAAATATATTTTTAATATTGACGGTATACATATTTTGATCCAATTTAAATTAATATCATTAGTGATGTTCAGGGATAAATTGAGTGGTTTGGATGTTAAAAATCATCTGAACTGCAAGAGAAAAAATATGATTTGGTTTGGTTTAATTGTCTTTAAGAAATAAAATCAAACCAAACCAATACGGTTTGGATTGGTTCAATTTTTTACAAAAAATTTATTGCGTAATGCATACACCTATAGAGAACAACATAATTTTATGTTTAATCATTCATACATTATCAAATAACAACAAAACTTATCATATTTATACAAAAACTTTTCATTCAATATACAAAAATAATATTAGACAAAAGTGAAATAAAAAACAAAAAATAGTAGTATAAAACAACACCATATAAATTATAACAAAAAGAAAAAACGCAGAAGATAAGAGATTAAAGAAGATAAAAGAGAAAAAACATAAGAGATACGAAATTAGAGAAGAAAGATGTGATAAAAACGTAATTGGAAGAGAAAACAATAACATAAAAATGAGAATATGGAAAATAAAGAACATAAGAGAGAATATATTAGAGTAGAAGATGTGAGATGTATATGAAAAAAAAGGTGAGAAGAATGTGCGATACTACTAGGAAAGATTTGAGTAGGTTGAAACTAAAATCATAAGTGTGAGTAAGAGAATATTTGTAAGGTTAAGGCATAATAGCTTTGAGTTTTTGGTTGGATGTGAGATAACTGAAGTTTGAATTGTAACATAATGCAGTCTGGTTTGCTTTAACTCGGTTTTCGAAATATAAACCGCAAATTATTGTGAATCTTGTT